GGGGGAATGTGTTACTGAAGGGCTGAAACAAAAGAAGTGAAAAGGGGTGGAAGTGCAGCTTGAAAGTGAGGTTGGGGCTGCGTGTGCAGAGCAGCTGCCAGCAGAGATGCCCTGAAATCAAGGTGCAAACAGTGGCAGAGGTGCCCTGCTGGGGGTAAGGAGGGTAAGGAGGCAGTGGGGCGATGCTCAGGCTGGGGGATTTCATGGTGCTCACACATTCCTCCCGTCAGCAGGATTTACACCACAGCACCAGCAGAGATCCCAGGTCAGTGCAGCATTGCTCCCTGTGTCAGCTGTCTGCACTGCATGGGGCTGCGGCCAGGAGGGCTGCCTGCAGTGCGTGGGGATGCCTGCAGCCTGCAGGGATTTCTGCAGCAGTTCATGGGGATATTTGCATCCTGTGGTCGTGTTCTCAGCTTGCAGGGATGTTTGCAGAGCACGGGGATGCTCGCAACTTGCAGGAATGCTTGCAGCACATGGGGATGCTTGCAGTGCACAGGAATGTTTGCATCGTGCAGGGATGTGTGTGGCATGCAGGGATGTTTGCAGCACTCTGCAGGTCCCACAGGTGCTAGCAGCAGTTTTTCAGCCTTGCCCCCTTCCCGTGCCTCAGTTTCCCCTCCCCAAGAGCAAGCACAGCACTGGAGCTGTGGGACTCAGCTCACTGCTGCCTGCTTCCAAACAACGTCTGTGTGTCAGGCAGGTGAGGGCGGCGAGCAGCAGCAATGTGTGCTGAGGAATTTCTTTTCCAAAGTGCCAAAATGGGCCCCGCAGAGCCTTTTCTCCCCAACCACATCCCCAGGCTGCAATGGAGCTCGCTCTCCCTTTCTCACCATTGCAGCACTCAGAGGGGCTGCTGCTCGCCAGATGTGATAAGGAAAGGTTTGGCTGAAGCTTGAGAAGTGGGGGGGCGGAGCGGGGGGAAATAATAATAATAAAAAAATAAAAATAAAAAAGAAGCAAAGCAAATTCCTTGGCAAATCAAAGCGTGGTGCGTGCAGAGCACGGAGCATCCGTGCTGATAAGGGATGAGGGCTGTGGGAGGAGGGGAGGCAGCCCTGCGAGCCAACCATGGCTGCTGGTTGGGGTCAGGGAAGCGCCCGCCCTGCAGCCCAGGCTGTGCCTCAGTTTCCCCACCCTGTGAATGCTGCAAAGGGTTAAAGCTCAGCGGGTAAAATACCTTGGAGGGGTTAAACAGGGCGATTTTTCTGCTGGGTTTTATCCAAAACATATGTTTTTGCCACTATTCGAGTTATCTGGGATATTTCCTGCGTGTTTGCTCCTATGGCAACCGGCCCAGCATGAAAGACCTATTTACTGGGCCCTGGGATAAGGCAGGGCCATGTGTTGTCAATTTGGAAGGCTCCTTCCCCTCCAATCTGTCTCCAGCCCCCCGACTCGTCCAGGGAGAGGCAGCGGGTGGGGGTGGGATGGGCTCTGCAGGGTGGGTTGGAGGCCCATCAGAGAGAGATGGAGTTGAGGTTCCTTCACTGTCGCTTTGAGGTTCTTCAGGAGCTACAGATGGACACAAACAAGCTGTAACTTGGGGTGAGGTCCTTCGCAGAGGTAGAGATGGGCACACGTAACCTGCAGTTCTGGTTCGGTGTCCATCAGGGGACATAAGGATGAATGCAAGCAAGCTACAACCCTGTCTGGAAGTCCTTCAGAGGCTGGGGGTGGAGACAAGTGACCTACAACACAGATCCTTCAGGGAGGCCAATGGACACCAATAACCTAAGACATTGGTTTCACATCTGTCTGAGAGCTGAGGATTGATATAAGTGACCTACATCACTGCTCTGAGGTCTTTCAGGAGCAAAAGATGGAGCCGAGGGGCCTTCAGCATCAGTCTAAGGTCCATTGGAGATACAGGGATGGAGGCAAGCAACCCACATCACTGCTCTGAGGGCTGCCCAAGAGACTGGGCTGGAGATGGGGCCTCCGGCGCAGGTCTGGGATGTCACCAGGAGGCACAGCAGGAAGCAGGGCTGGTGCCAAGCAACCCGGCATCCATCCCAGAGCTCAAAGCTACAGCTCACCCCAGGCATGGGGCAGGAGGGTCCTGGGGGGAGCAAAGGCTCCTCAGATCCTCCAAGCCGCCACGAGGTCTGATCCCCCTTCAGCATGTCTGGAATTCTTTTGGGGTCACCCCAGTGCCCCAAGAGCCCCAACACTGCCTGGGACACTCTGTGCTCCCTCCTGGGCAGCTGCAGCCAGGCAGGACCAGACACGGTGTGGGACAGAGGATCTGCAGAATGCTTCACCCCCAGGACTCCTACACTGGTATTTCTGATGAAAAAGCCCAAATAAATGATAATTTTTTTCCTCCCCCACGTTTTGCAGGAGTGACCCTTCCTCCCTCCCTCCCTCCCTCCCACCGGCCGCTCGGCGCTGCCTCACCGTATTTCTTTTTAACACACACACAAAAATAAAGGCTTTTGGCCAAAATAAACCTTCCCTATGAAAATGTGCGTTTGGGTCAAAAAGCCACTTTGCACTGGGAAAAAAGAAAAAAGAAAAAAAGCAAAAAGAAAAGAAAACCCCTTAAGTGCACGGCTGGCAAAGCTCCGAGGGAGATATAATACCGTATAATATCATTTGCAGAGTGATGCAGCGGGGGGAAGGATGGAGGAACAGAGCGAGCCCCCGAAGCAGAGCGGGTGGGACAGGAGCTGCTCCCCGTGCAGCCAGCCCTGCTCACACCGCGCTCGTTTCCAGCACGGAGGTTGGCCAAGGATGGAGAATGGAGATGCCCTCGGGGGGGGCGGCGCTCCCTCGCGATGCTCGCAGGCTGCGCATCCCCTTCCAAAAAGCTGCCTTATCCCCCACCAAGCTGGCTGGGGAGATGAGGAAATTGCCTCCTTTCCCGTTTCCCCAACCCCGGAGGAGACAAGCGATCGTTTGAAGGCGGCTCTTCATTTCCTGCCCCGCGCTTCAAAGCGCTGATGGCCGACGGGGGGGGGGGAAAGGGGGGGTGCATCGCACGTGGCCGCGGCTCCCCGGGCGACGGCGGGTCCGGCGGAGCAGAACTCCCTGCCAAGGCAAACATTGGCTTCAGAAGGAGTTTTGTCTCTTTCTTTTTTCCTAAAAATGCCAAGTTTTTGCTCACTTGAGGAGGAAAGCGGGCTTTGCTTTGTTTCCATCCCGGCTCTTTTTGCAGCAGGACCACGGGGCAGGTGCAAAGGGGCTTTCAGACGCTCAGCCTTCGCCCTCACCCCTGTTGGGCTGTAGGAGGGCCCCCTGTGTCCCCCCGCTTGTCCCCCATATTCACCCTTAGAGATGATGGAAAGCAGCGTGCTGGGAGGGGGCTGTGCTCAGCAGGGGCTGCAGCAGAGCAGGGAATTCCCTGTGCCTGGGTGTGGGCCAGCAGCAGAGCCTGGGGCATGGCGAGGTGTCAGAGCTCTTCCCTGCCCTTCCTCCTCCTCCTCTTCCTCCTCTTTCTGCTTCTCCTCCTCCATCCCCCCCTCCTTCTCCATCTCCATTTCCATCATCCCCTCTCACCACCCCCTCCTTATCTTTGTCTCTTCTCCCTTCACCTCTCTCCTCCTCTCCTTACCTCGTCTCTTCCCATCTCCTCACCTTCCTTCCCACGCTGCTCCCACCCGGCCCCCCCACACCTCCCACCCGCTCCGCTCCACGCCTCGCTTTCCCCTCTTGTTGAGCTCCATCAGCCGATGCCACCCAACACCACCTCCACAAATGAAGAGCCCAGGGACCACCCCAGGCAGGAGAAAACCCCCACATGGAGACCCATTGCATTCCCAGGGCTGCCTGAGATGCGTTGGGCAGTGAAGCCCCGATAAATCCTGCGGCAGCAGCGCTCTGAGACCAGCTGTGTTTTTCTAGGCATCTGCGATGTGACTGATAGGGTTTTACTGCTACCACAGAAGCTGTTCACACATAAATGTTACACGAGGGTTTTACAGATTTTTCTGTCCCTGATATTGACCTTAATGTGGCTAAAGAGGACTTAAAAAGGTGATGTATTTCAGACCAAAAGCTCTCACCGGCAGGAAAATGCACCGGGTGTCAAGTGCTTAAAAAGCAGAGGAAGATGGAAGCCACAAACCTTGTGACCCTGCAGCCTTCACCTGTCCCCAAAATAGCCTGTCCACCCAGCAAGGCCAGGATCATGCTGTGCTCTTCCCAGCAGTGCCCCTTATCCCTCCCTGCTGGAGCCCCTCGAGAGGTGACTGGGTATCTGGGGACAAGTGGAGTGGGATGGGGAGCTGGG